GTGGAGATTTGGCAAAGCTACGCTGCTGCAGCGGCTAACTCTGCCTTCTTCCAAAACCAGGATTGCTTCAGAGGGCCGGCGTGATGCAATCCAAGAAGGGGCTTTAATTTCACATGGCCAGTCCAAAGCTGATCAGCCTGTGGGAAGGGGATCCCAGTTTTCTGGGTACAGCCACCGGCCTGAGCTCCTGGAGAATTTCCTGCCTGGATAAATGAGCCATTCATGGAGGTGTCCAATTACCAGCCTCCACTGACGCCCCCCCTCCAACCCCACCTTCTTCCCAACAAACCTTCAATTGTTAATTAACTTGAGGCAAGGAGACAGGATGTGGGAGGGACTTGCCAAGTAGCTGGAGGCATTGCATTGCGCGGTTGCATAAATGTTGGGATTTTTGCTGAGTAACTGTGGACTAGACTGACAGACTTTTTTTAGTCTCAGCTGAATCAGGCTTCAGGTGCGGTTCTGCAGTCCTGCATTTCCTTTCCTGTCAAACATCAGCCCCATGCCCTGGCATCCCCCTCCTCCTGCCCCCGGGGAGGGGGCCTTCTGATGCGTATCAGGGCTGGGAGGAGGAAGGCCCCTGACTCCAGGGGGTGGCTGCTGTTCTCAGGAAGGGATGTGCTGTTTGTCCAGTAGGCGTCTGTTGCTCAGCTATCCCGAGATTGAACTAGCGAATGCCAGCCCTGATTCTTATCTCGCATACACAGGCTTCAAGCCAGACTAACTCCATGGCGGTCAGCACAGTATTGCTGCGTGCCCAGTTTACTGGGCAGACCCGTACACATGGCCCAGTGCCTGGAGTCACCAAATTCCAGCACTTGTTGAAGACACCCCCTGTTTTCAATCTCTGGATTGAAAAGAAAGCTTGGAAGTGACACCCAAGTTTCCTTGGACCAATGGCTTTGGGCCGGGGGCTGTCTGTCATACAGTGCCTCGCATGGGGGGGTTCTGGTCCATCAGGGCTTTTTTGGTGCAGCTGTAATGAACACATCCTGCCTGCCTGAGTCTGCAGGCAGCCTGAAACGGTAGCTCCACGAGAGGTGAACGCCCTGAGCGATCTGAGCTCCCAACATGCTGCCTCCAGAAGGGGCCGTGGCCACAGCGTGGTGGGCGGAGCTCCCATCTGGTCTGCGGGACTTTTGAGGTCAGGCCTCTGCTTTTCAGTGAGGCGGGGGAGGGGTCTGAATTGGTTAGGAGGCCTCCAGGCGTCTCACCTCCTCCCACTGAACTTTGGGGCCAATCAGGAGTCTGCCCCAAACGCTTGGGAGGGGGCTGGGCATCCCCTCTCGTTTCTCCTGCCCAGTTGGACCCCGTCTAGCTGGCAACTCCTCCCCCAGGGGCAGCCAGGGGTTCGTGCCTCAGACCTTCCCAGAGGCAGCGAACGGCCGGTGACAAGCACCGTCCACGTGACTTCAGTGGGGAGCTGAGACGATTCAGGCCCCGCGTTTCCCAGGCAACTAAAATGCCACCTGAACGTGTCACTGTTTCCCTGGGAAAGATCTGGTCAGGCGCTCTGCTGCAGACAATGGCTGGGTTTAATGGAACATTGCATTGCCGGAGCCGGTCAATGGAACACGAACGAAGGATCTTTTGGAAGGGGTTGCCAACCCCCGGGCCATGGTCCGGTGCCGGGATGTGGCACGCAGCCAGGCCATGCCCACATGTCAGCTGCCGCAGCTGAATCCAGCTGTTTGCAGCCGCTCTGGGGGCCAGGGCTGGGTACGTATTTTGGCAGACGGATGACATTTTATTTGCATAATGAACATGCAAATATACAACTAAAATGTTACCAGGCCAACCAAAAGTTTGTGAATGGGTTTGCCGGTCTGCATTTCGCCCCAGCTTTGCTCAGCCTCTCGCGAGGTGCTGGGTACACTGGGGGCCTGGAGAGCATGAACCCGAAATCTCGCCATGGATGGGAGGGGTGTATAAATCCCGTGGATGTTCAGCTGAGACCTGGAGTACTGGGTCCTAAAATGGCTTTGGTCAGGGGCCTGGTGGGTGTCCGGGGGCCCTGCTCTGCAGAGATGCATTTCCCACCCTGATTGCGTGTTGTTTCTCTCAAGCAGATGACCGCTCGCCTGATGCTGGCGGTGGGAGGAGCAGTGCTGGGCTCCCTGCAGTTTGGCTATAACACCGGAGTCATCAACGCTCCACAGAAGGTAAGAGTGCTCATGTTGCCCTCTGTAGCTGTGCACGGACAGACCTGCCCAAAAGACATCCCTTGCGTGCCACAGCCCCCGTCACGAAACCTCGTGAGCTGCCGCCAGCACTGCGCCCGCAAGCAAACGGCAAGGCGGGTGCCGCACAGAGTAACGCCACCGCACGCGTGTGCCCTGGTGCTGTGTGAACACTGGCACACGCCAAAACCGCTCCGCACACGAAAACAAACACACCCCTGCACATCCCCCCGCCTGCTCCAGGCTCCACTGAAATAGCACATCCTGCTAAGCAGCTTACCAATTCTAATGAGATTTCTGCAGCAGTTATTTGGTTGTTCCCAGGAGCATTAAAGTTTCCTCTTTACTGCTTTGTGAAAGAATTCAGGGAAAGTTATTACATAAACTGACCCTTGTCGGCCCCGGCAGTGCCGAGCAGAGCAGCCTCTGAGCCTTCCCACGTTCGTTCGGGGCTTGGATTTGGAGCCCCGGTCGAAGGGGCGTGGACGCTGCCACTAGACACCCTGGCTGCTCCGTGCCAGCGCTGTCAGGCTCCTGGGCAGAGAAGGGCTATACCTGGTCTCCGCAGCAGTTCTGAGCATGCCCACTACAAACCAAGCAGCAACTCTGCAAGGCACGTGACCCCGTGTCGCCTCACGCTCCCTCACCAATGTTCCCGTTAATCTTTTTCATCCATGTGCAGAATGAATGTTTCTGTGCACGGAGGCAGGGGCGCCTGTGCACCGCCAGGAGACACACAAGCCTAGCGGCGGGCCCTCTGCTAATCAGCTGAGCGGCTCTGGAATCGCTCCTGAACAGCCACCCACGTTCTGCCCAAGGGGTCAGTTCTAAGGGGCTATTCAAACTGCACCAGAAAGATTTGGATTCTGGGACCCTCCTCCCTGCACTGGGCCAGGGCCGGAATGGGGGTGGCATTCAGCAGTTCTTTGGCTAACTCAGCCGGTCTGGACAGCAGTGTGCCATAAGGCCGGGGTGTTGTGTTTGGGCTGGGATAAAGCCAGTCTGTTCCCAAAACACAAGCACAGCCAGGTGAGTCGTCAGCCTTTGGCTTGGCCCACAGGGAACCTGTTCATCGTAGCGGCACAGGACTGTCTACACTTCCTTGGGGTCTCTTAGCCTTGTATGTCTTCCTGCTTGCTGGCTGGGTGGTCTGATGGGGGGGGCTTTAAGGGGCATCGCAGACCCCCTGCCCTTTTGCACCGCTCTTTGAGATCAGTTGTCTGTGTGGCCAGCATCCTCATGCGGGCATGAGAACCGAGCTTGGGAGGAGACTCCCCATGAAGTAGGGCCCTCTAATGCAGCGGTTCCCAACTGCTGGGCCGCAGCGACTCTGGGGGCCGGAGCTGGGATACACTGCCCAGCACCTCCCCTCCTGCCATGGCTGTTGGGAGGGTCTTTTCCTGGACATGGAAGAGTGCTTTGCTCAGCCAGCAGCGCAGGACTTAGGTGAGGGGAGAGGGGCAGGCACTGGGGGCGGGGCTAGTAGTGGAGGGGGGGTG